TACAAAATTTACTTATGTAGCCGAATTTCCCATATTTGTAACATGGTCGTACTGCTGCAACAAAAGTAGTAACTTCAATTTTCATATTGCAAAAATATACAGGAGGGGGCAATTCCTTAGTTCTAAACGTCAAATATAGCGCCCTCCACTCCATCCATACCAAAATTTCTTCATTACTTTCTTCTTTCGTCTGTTTGACTCTCATCTTAAATCTGGCTGCGTCAGTGATCCGGAAAGTTATGCTCATCTGAGTTGAGCTGTTCCATCAAATTTTCTAACTCCATGTCCTCTGGTACATCTTTAATGACTCCCTTTTGAATCTCGGAATGCGTGCTTTTAGTTGGATGGTAGGACTGTGCGAAACTTTATTTACTTCCAATGTCTCTGACAAGGTAACCTCCCAGAATAAACCTAGCATATTGTCTAATGGAGGAAGCCGGATAGTACAGTCGGTATAGCGACTAGCTACGGGCTGGACGACCGAAGGGTCGGAGTTCAAGTCCCTGGAGGGTCAAGAATTTGCTCTTCTCCACGTCGTCTAGACCGGCCCTGGAGTCCACCCAACCTCATATACAATGGATACCGGAGGCTCTTTCCCCGGCGGTAAAGCGGCTGGAGCGTGAAGCTGAGCACTCACATCCAGCTAGTGCCGAGGTCAAAGAAAATGTGGATCTAGACATCCACTCCCTCATAAGCCTTCATGGTCGCAGTGCTTAATTAGTTAAGCCCAGGGACAACTTTACCTTTACTCACTGTCTAATGGATTGGAAATTGATCTTGGATTTTGCTATAACATTGAATATATCAAATAGGCCCCTCTTCTATTCCTTTTTTGTTTCACCAATGGGGCATTAGGCCTCTTGGGATTTAGGTGGATGTTGAATTGCCCTTTTTGTAAATTTTAAAACGTAGGTTCTTGTTTTTTGCAAACTTTTGCGGATAGAGGGTATCGCGTGATCAGCGCAACGAATCCCCACGGCCGTTAATTTGGTTTTTATAGACCGGAGCCGCTATTTCTTTGAAATACCTCCTCACTTATCCACACGAGGCTGAGTGGACCCCGTTCTAGACTCACTACTTCTCAGAAAATCTGGTAGCGCCGGAAATCGAACCCGGACCTCTGGCTCTGTAGCCAGGAACTCTGACCACAAGACCACAGAGGAAGTTGGCACTAACTTTGCCGACAAGCGACGGTCGCTCGGTCGGTTTAGTTCGCTTGCGGACTAAAACCACGGAGTTTGTTTCAGGTTCTTATTTTTTTCATGTTTTGTTTTTCTTTAAACTTTCTCCCAGGTCTTACCCTTCTATTTTTGGCTGGTCTGATCATGCCGGTCGCCGGACTTATTTGTAACTTTATTTCCTAGGCTTTGTGCTTCAGACCCTACCTGCTGAATTGTCCCTTGTTCTGTTGTGTCCTTGGTTTGGTTGTGATTCCGTGACATTTGTATTTTGGTTTTTATTGCTACTCTGTTGTGCGCCATTTTTCGAAGATTCTTCTGCCTTTTACGGTTTCTTAGAGTGCTAAATTGTGCCCTGAGCTCCTCATCTGTCCTGTTTCTCCCGCAACCCTTTGTCAGTGTCTTCCATCACCACTTCTTCCCCATCTACATCACTGATTTCTCGTTCCTCCACTTGTCCTTCTTTCAGAGAGTCCACGCTCCAGAACATGTGAACTCCAACCGTAGTATTTTTACCCGAAACCCACACTCTTATTACTTGTCACTTTTGTGTACAAAAATCGGGGGAGAAATATCAACAAAAAGCAAAAGATAATTATTATATTCAAACACCACATTAAATTTTCTCAGTCTGTTTTCTCTATTCGTTGCTTAGTAACTGCTCTCAACAATGGCTATTTCTCTATAAAGTTTTTGATAAATATTTCCTGGTAAGGAATCTTAACAATGCGGATTCTCCGAGCCCTGTGCTTACATATTGTCCGGCGTGTATGCTGCTAGCTGGTGTTCATTTCCTGCAGTACTCTGGATACTGTGATATGTGTGTCAATATTTGTGTCGTTTATTAGTGACATACTTTGCTTATCTTGTACATGTCGTGACGAAAACCGTCTTCTGGGATGTGGCAACGTGTACATATTGTATTAACCGAACGTTTCGGTATATGTGGTATTTTTTTCAGTGTGTTCAATTGTTAAGTGTTATGCATAAAATATTTATCTTATACATAAAAATCTAATATAGCCCATTATATATTACAGATACACCAGACACATGCATGCAAATAAATTAACAACGGCATGATAATATAAAATAACTTAAAATAAAGTATTTTAGAAGCATTTTACATCAAAATGAAAAGCAGACCAACATGACAAAAGAGCTGCAGGTTCCTTTAATCCAATATCTTATACACCTGCTGATGGACAATTAGTCCGAAACATTGTAGTGTTGTATAATGAGAAGAGACGAAGACGTGGGAGAGTGAGTACAGTTGTACAAAGATGGCAAGGAGTGAGAACACGAATTAGATATTATGTAGGTCGAAACATGTAGCTAAGGAGCATAAAATATATATTTTATAAAGATTCATATAGAAATATTTCTATATGAATATATATATATATACACCACTATATTACCGTGTTTGAGATGACGAACTTTTCAAATCAGTTTGCTTACCGATTTCCGTTTGGTTTTCAGGATGGGACGGCTGCTCTTCTTCCTCTTTATTTGGCTCATGTTACCAATACTTCGCCCCACAAAAGCAGCTTCCTGTTTTACGAAATCAAATTAACTCCTTTAGAAATACAGCTTCTGTTATCGAAGCTGAAAACACTTCCACACATCCGTATCCAAGCAACGACACAATAACAGTATCTATTGTTGTCGTAAGATACCAGAGAATATCGAAATTTCAGCCAGAGAAAACCTAGGTTATGAGGAACTGAAGCCACGGTTCGATGTAGGCTGTTCAGAACTCTTAAGTGTATCTATGGCTCTACAGCCCCCTTGTGGCCGCTGGTCCCCTTTTCAGTTTCTAATTTATACAGAGTCGGTAGGACTCCTTGGACGGGGGATCAGCCTATCGCAAGGACACTGCCTACGCACGGATCAACACAAACGTAGAATAAACGCAAATAGAAATCCATGCCTCAAGTGGAATTCGAACCAAGTTCTTAGTCATCACAGTGTTCGAGCGAAGACGGTTCATGCCTTAGATCAGACTTATTTTATTTATGTATTTATTTATATTCATTTGATTGTGTATGATATCTGGGGAGTGTAATTCAGTGAGACTGTTGCAGTTCCTGTGTTAAAATCCGTTGCCAGGAAACAGCTAATGGAGACTGGAATAGGCTGATGATACACTAGTCTATCAGTGATCTGTAAAGCGTAGTTACGAGTCGTGAGTGTATAAATGATCTTTATACATAAATCCGTTCACCAATCCGAAACCCGTCTACAGTCACACACATAAATCGTGACGCTATATTAGTCCTTTCGTCTCGCTGTCAGTGCCCTAGACGTCAGGATGATTATTCGAAATAGATTTTCTGTACAAGTATATTCGTTATTTATGTAAGTGCCGATTGCATCGCTCTGCAGACCGTCAAAAGCAAGACGAAAATTATAAATGTGAAATTTGTATATGTAAAAGAAGAGTAAATTGCTAGGTAACGTCTTGTTAAACAGGTTTCCGCGACAACTAATATGCACGCAAGGGCAGAAAAAGTGTTGGGTGTCAATTTCAACAACCGTCCTATTAAAATATGTTTCTGCGGCAACGAATACACGCAAAAGAGGAGGTTTGTATTCGGACCGCGTAGTCAAGACGCAGCAGTCTGGAGTAATGTGAAATGTGGTGCACTTCAGAGTAAGCGGCATCCAGAATATTCATCTACCAACCCAAACTTCGCCTTGCGACGAGCTGATCACCCGTCCGAGGAGTCCTACCCTCTATAAAAAATTATCAACGAAACTGCGAAATCAGCCCTGTGCTCCAAAGTGAGAGCGATAGGAAGGAACAAACATTTCATTTGATGCATTGGTTTCTATGACTCAGCAAATTTGTCAAGTTGTCGCACCATCTCGTCCAATCAGTGCATTATTTCGGCTGAACGCCCTTGGTTTGAGTGCTTTTCAACATTGTTTTTTTTTTTTTTTGCTTGGGCAATATCGAAAATGTAAAGGTGCCCCTAACCTGACCTACTTTTTACCGCTTGGATACAGCAATGAGATAAAATGGTAAATCTTGCCGTATACGCGGAAAGAGTACAGACCATTTCCGGGTGACAACTTGATCTCGGCGCCCATTGATACGAACACCATTTCTGAATTGTACTCTCGTAAAAATTCTCTGGTTATTCAGTTCGCTTATGTGCCACGAACTCGTTCCAACTGGAGAGGAGCGCAAACATACCTAATCATTATATATATATAGTGACGTATTGCGCCATGGAGGACATCCCCTCCCCCGCCAGCGGTGACGTAACAACATCGGGCGCTGTCTGTTTCGGAGACTGTTCTGTCTCCTTCTATAGGTGTAATCAGTTGATTTGGGCCCAATTGAATCAGCTTGTCCCTATATCTGGACTTGAAAAATCAAAATTTACCCAAAGTGCGCACGAAGAAGACCACAACCACAAAATACGTTGGAAAGTACCGAAGATATTGCGATTTGAACCACACGCCACTTATAGGAAATACAAGGAATTCGCCCACACGTCTCAGTCAACCAAGCTCAGACTCACCCTTATCTCGACTCACATCATCGCAGCAGAAGTAGAAGAACTACAGCTCCGTCCAGTATAGATTAAGTGGGAAAACTGAGTTTTTTTATCTTCATCGATTGGGGCCTATCTGAGTATATTCCACCTGAAGAAGGAGGCAGAAGAATCCAGTCTCCGAAACATTTTTAAATAAAAAGAGCACGACGATTAATAATGTCCAAAAGCAGAATGTTTTTCAATTTTTATATTTTATGTAGTGCAACGAATGAGATATTAAAGAACTGAAGGTATTTAATGTGACATGTCGGCTCTGAGATGTTGCCTGTTGTAAATTAGTTTGTAGTGAGTAATCCGTGGCTGCTGGGCATGGTTACTAGTCAGTGTAATCTGTGTTGCGTGTATTTTCTGTCCGTTACTGGTTGATAGGATTGCTAGATTTGTTAAGATGGTGTTCAGAAGACGGTCGTGTGTTAACAGGAGTATTTTGTATTCTCGTACTTTTAAACAGTGTAAGTAATATGTGTTAAGTTTTAAACTGCTGAACCGTACAGAATTGTTCTCAGTCGCAGGTTTGTCAGTTCCAAATACACTTCCTAGTTTAACCAAACTGCACATTGTTGCGTTTACTGTTGATGCCTGTTAATGGTTTCTTGGTACTTATAAATAACTGCAAAATTACATTATATAGTGTCTCCAGGAATTAATTGTTTTCAAAGGGAGATGATAGTTTTTCTTTCGTCGAATCGTTCCTTTTATTATTTTTATTATGCGTATAGGATATTGGTTGGAAAGCCAAAAGGAAAGAGACCACTTGGAAGACCAAGGCGTAGGTGGGTGGACAATATTAAAATGGATCTTAGAGGGACAGGATGGGATGGTATGGATTGGATTGATCTGGCTCAGGATAGGGACCAGTGGAGTGATCTTGTGAACACGGTAATGAACCTTCGGGTTCCATAAAATGCTGGGAAATTCTTGATTAGCTGCAGAATTGGCAGCTCCTCCAGAGGAGCTCAGCTCCATGAGTAAGTAAGTAATACCACTCTGTCTTCTTAAAGGCCTGACTGGCACAAACAG